AAAAAGGTTTTTTTTTAAATTAAATTAAATACTTTAAACAAAAAACGCTCTCACAGTTTTTCCACAAATACTGAAAAAAAACACGATCTTTTAAATGAAATCGAAAGTTCGAAAATCGGTTTGCTCCATTTAGAGACATTGTCATTTTAATAGAACCATTTTTTCGAAGAAAATCTCCATTAATTTTCTAATAATAAAAAAGATGGCAGCATGGTTGCTTCAGCAAAAATATGCGTCATCATAAGTTCTAAATGTAACCAAAACAAGGTTTTTACGAGAAATGAACTTATGAAAAGATATTCGAAGAAATCTGTTTTTATGGGCCATTGTAACCTGCTTGTTTAAAAAATCTTAACTCATGAACCTTAAGAGACAAAAATTGGGTGTCTTGAGCAAAATTGCTTCGAATTGATTGTTCTACAACTTTTAGAAAATTGCATTAGTCTATCTCAAATAATTATGTATTTTCAAATCTCCAATTTTGTGGACCACCCTAATTTCACTAACATAAAAAGATCGGCCAAACAATATGAAGAAACTTTCCCGAAGACACTATATACCTAAAACAGTTTGGGCGCAAGCATTTTTGTCTTCCTAAATACGGCTTTGAGACCATTGTGCAGTGGATGGTCTTCCGAAAGATCCGAAACATCCGTAAAAAGGCTCAATCCATGGAACTGATCCAAGAACTCCGTTTTTTCGTAAGCTCTCATAGACGTCTTATAATTATGAATTCGGAGTTATGATCGGAAAACAGAACCTGGAGACCATGAACGCTCCTCTGGAAAATAATAGACAACTCATCAGAATGAAATCGGAGTTGTGACTGGAAAATGGACCCCAGGGTCCATTGGATGGTCCTTCGGAATATCCGGAACATCCATTAAAGTGGATAGGTCAAGAAAACTGATCTAAGCACTCTATGGTTTTTTAGAACTGCTCATAGACACATTTTTTATTTATTATCATGGATGATCTCTAGGTGGTATTTAAGTAATTAATAACTTCTAGACACTTTTAACGGAATTTTTGATGATCTTCCGGATCTTTTAATGGACCATCCCGTGGTCCCCAGTATAAACTGTCTTTCAAAACTCCGATTTTATTGTGATAAGATGTCTATGAGTGCTTTCTAAAAAATCGTGGAGCTCAAGGATCAATTTCATGAATTGAGCACTTTTAGGGATGTTCCGGATCTTCCGGTGGACCAACCTGTAGTCTCCATATACTTATTTCTGAACACAACTCCGAATACATTCCGACAAGACGTTTATGAGTGGTTCCGAAAAATCCGTAGAGCTCTAGGATCAGTTTAATGAATTGACCACTTTTACGGATGTTCCGGATCTTCCGGTGAACCATCTCGTGGTCCGCAGGGTCCATATTCCAGTTACAACTCCGAATTCATTCTGATAAGACGTTTATGAGTGGTTTTGAAAAAACCGCGCAGCTCTAGGATCAGTTTCGTGAATTGACCACTTTTACGGATGTTCCGGTTCTTTTAGTGGACCATCCTGTAGTCCCCAGTGTCCATATTTCGGTCACAACTCCGAATTCATTCTGATAAGTCGTTTATGAGTGGTTTCTAAAAAACGCGGAGCTCTAGGATCAGTTTCATGAATTGACCACTTTTACGGATATTCCGGATCATCCACAGGATCAGACTTGTATCCTGCCGGAAACTGAATCGTCCCAAAAGGTGGCCAACTTTCTGCTTAACAACTTCTCAGAAGACATCAGGAAGTTATCTTTTCAAATCAGTGAGATTTTCAAATTTTCAACCAATCAATTTCAACAATGTTATTGTTTTGTTGACATCGTTTGACAGTCCACTACTTGACCGAATAATGTCAATTTCGTGCGCGGTCTATGCTTCGAATTGTTAAGAAATGTCAAAGTGCATCTGGTACCACTAACACTGTTTATTTTCGAAAAAGCTTTCGTTCGAACGGGTTCGTACGAAAACCAGAATGCCGTTTTCGAACTCGTTCGAATCGAGTCGTTCGTACGAACGAACGATTCGAACGAAAACGGGAATAGAGGTGATTCATTTTTGGTGACTTCAATCTGCCAGGCGTTTAATGGAGTCCATCTCATAGCGGATTCCTGTACCCAGATCGTAATAGCTCTACATTTCACGCAGGAGCTATTAGCCTTCTCGACAACTACAGCGCAACGACGCTTTCTCAAATTAACCATGTAGTTAACGCAAATGATCGTAGTTTGGACCTCTGCTTCGTGAGCACACAGGACAGGGCTCCATCAATTTCCTCGGCTTCTTGTGCACTAACTAAGCTAGTTCCACATCACCTTCCTCTAATTGTCACTGTTGAGGACAAACTCGTGCGTGATCCTGCTACGGTTTCTTATGACTTCCGTAAAGCTGACCACCGTAGCATCATAGATGTATTGTCTAGCATGGTATGGGAGAACATCCTTGATCCAGATGACGTTGAGGCTGCAGCGCAAACCTTTCACCTTTGTCTTGGCATATGTCATTGACAGACACGTCCCGAAAAGAGCTCACCACAAAGTGTCTCACCCTCCCTGGCAAACGAGAGAGCTACGTAGGTTGAAGTCAATCAAGAGCATTGAGAAGATTTACGAAGTATCGCACGCTTCCTCTGAAACTACATTATGTAGTACCAGCGAGTCAGTCGTGAATGCTTTTCAAGTTTTTAACGAGGCATCCAGCGCAAACTTAAGCTACACCGAAATCCTTTTGGAACTACGTGAACGAGCAACGCAGGGAATCCGGCCTCCCATCGTCTATGGAATTCAACGGAGAAGTTGCTGCCACTATTCAGGATATATGCCACCTTTTTTCCGAAAAGTTTGCCAGTGTATTCACTAATGAGATACTAACTGACGACCATATTAACCTGGCTGCCAGGAACGTTCCAATAAACGATCAAACGCTGGGTGCAATTGATGTTAATGCAGAAATGATTTCTAAGGCCGCGACTCTGCTCAAGTCATCCTTCAAACCTGGACCTGATGGAGTTCCATCTGTATTTTTGAAGAGACATATTGCTAGCTTGTTAATTCCGCTTCTTCGCCTGTTCCGAATGACTCTTTCCAGTGGCATATTTCCATCTTGATGTGGATAACTATCGAGGAATTACATCGTTAAGTGCTGTTTCGAAGCTATTCGAGCTAGTGATTATGGAACCGTTGCTGTCCCATTGCAAGCAGTATTTGAGTGCTGATCAACATGGGTTTACTGTCGGCCGCTCTACAACCACCAATCTGCTGTGTCTCACATCGTATATAACCGAAAGCATGTCGGATCGGGTTCAAACGGACGTTATTTATTCAGACCTATCCGCAGCATTCGACAAGTTGAACCATGCTATTGCGATTGCTAAACTCGGCAGGCTCGGTGTATACGGTAATCTTCTGAGTTGGTTTCGATCATATCTTACCGATCGGCAACTAAAGGTTGCCATAGGAGATTGCAGATCAGCTAGCTTCTTCGCCACATCAGGTATATCTCAGGGAAGCCACATGGGACCGTTAATTTGTATACTGTACTTTAACGACGTGCATCTGGTCATCGAAGCTCCTCGGTTATCATATGCAGATGACCTCAAAATCTTCCTACGAATCTGCTCCATTGCTGACTGTCACTTTCTTCACCGTCAACTGAATGTATTCGCTAGTTGGTGCAGGTTAAACAGAATGGTAGTGAACCCAGCCAAATGCTCCGCTATTACGTTCTCACGAAAACAAAAACCGGTAATATTTAGCTATGAATCAGGTGAAAGACTTGGGTGTGATCTTGGATTCGCAGCTTTCATTCAAGCAACACATTGCATGTGTTGTTGATAAGGCGTCAAAAACTTTAGGGTTCATTTTTAGGATAGCTAAAAACTTCACTGATATCTACTGTCTAAAATCTCTTTATTGTTCGCTTGTTCGATCGACGCTTGAGTATTGTTCAGCAGTTTGGAACCCAAACTACAACAACGGTGCCGAGAGAATTGAATCTGTTCAACGTCGCTTTCTTCGTTTTGCTTTGCGTAGATTGCCTTGGAATGATCCGTTTCGATTACCTAGTTACGAAAGCCGTTGTCAACTTATCGACCTAGAACTTCTCCGGACTAGAAGAGACACAAGCAGAGCCCTAACCGTGGCCGATATCCTGGAAGGAAGGACAGATTACGAGGCTATCCTGAGGCAAATTGACCTGAATGTTCAACCCCGACCGCTTCGTAATAACCTTATGCTAAGACTACCCCTACGTCGCACAAATTATGGAGCGTACGGTGCGATTTGCGAACTGCAGAGAACATTCAACAGAGTTGCATCTGTTTTCGACTTTCATCCAATAAACCAATTTTCTGACAAACGCGAACCAGCGCTTGGTTGGTCGGGCGAACGTATAGAAACGCGAGAATTTTTACAACAGGGAATCTATTTTCTTGTATTTTGGCAGTCGACTGCGTCGCCCATAGTAAAATAGTTTTTCCATGGTCATTTCCGCGAGAGAAGAAGAACACGTCACAGACAAAACGAAGTCAGTTGTCTCCTCTTCCTCTTAGGGATATTCATATTCTTGCTGGGCTGCCGTTGCCACACAGTTGGCGAAACCATAGCAGAGGTGAATATCCGTCAACTATTCTGGAGAATACATGTTTGTTTTGTGCAAGATGTGAGTTTTCTCGATCAAGTCGAGTTTAAGAGGCTTAAAGTTAAAGAAACCCCCCAATTCTATAGAAAGGTTTTATCCCCTAGAAGTTCTGGGAGATTTGAAGTTCTGACAAAAAACCAACGGTCTTCTGCTTGCTAGATAGGTGCATGTATTATAAATAATTGAAAAAAGTCACCACTTACCGATAAGCGCTCCCAGCCCGTTCTCATATTTTCCACCGTCCAGGATAATTCGGATGAAGGAACATGTTCACACAAAAAAAGATTCACTATTCACTAACGCAGAATAATATTCCAACTTCATCTAGCATTAACTTCCTCTTTCTGAACACCACATCTTCACCTACTAACTGCTGCCGTAGAACACGGCCATGTTCCTTAACACATCCTTATTGTAGTTCACCAGCGTCGGCTTGCCAACCAAATAGCCACACTCCGAGTAGAGATCCATGCTAGGCTTCCGGAACCAAAGGTTTCGACTTCCGGCGTCGTTGGAACTGCTCAGGTCCAACGTGTTCAGCTGGAATATGCTAAAGTGGAACCACTTGCTATCGGTTTGCACCGCCTGAACCGTGATCGGATGCGGGAGGACTTTTACGTTGTCCTATTGGAGGTAATGCATGGATTGGATTGTCAGAAGAAGGTTTATAAATCAGAAATAGCACTTTGATCTTACCCCGTAGAGTTGCCTAGCACGGGCAGCCGCCACCGTGAACGCCTTGATCATGGCGCGGGCTTGCTTCTGATCGTCGGTCACCGGCGTTTCGAACATATTAACCACGTCCTCCGGAGCACAGTGCAACAGGATCGTGTGAGGGTGGGAAAACTTGTACTGCCGACTGATGGGATACTCGTTTTGCCATTCGTAGAACTTGGTAGTCGGAATGGTGACCGTTTCTTTGACGGGGAAGATGTCCGGAAGCGAATGATCCTGCGGACGGTACACAGCGCTGTCCAATGGCGTCATGGGGGATGAGGAGCTGATCAAGCTATCCACCTTGAGCGAGAACTGAATCCGATCCAGTTCTTTGGTGATGGGGACGATACAGCGAGTGTTGGCAATCACTTTCCGGGTGGAAGCGACCTGCGGGCCGACGAAACGCTCACAATGGGTAACCAGTTTTGAGAGCAAAAGGCGGCTAGAAGTTAGAGGCAATCATTAGAGCGATAATTTAAAGGACATTTTAGGAATTACTTTTTCTTTTCGCTGGAAATACCGTAGACCCGTGGAAACTTAAATGCTGGCCGTTCCGGATCCTTTATCAGCGCAGTTTTAACTTGCTCGGTTTCGAAAACCAGTGCCGCAAGGACCGACTGCTGCATCGAGCGGTCGAGCTGGGTTGGAATTTTGGTCTTATCCACCCGTTCTTCCACCTTCAGCGGCAGCTCATCGTACACGACAGTGTTGAGCAGAACCTGCGCCTGGCGGACACCCTCGAGCAGCACATTCCGATCGCCGTACAAATAGCACTGTTCACGTTTGTACAACGGATGATTCTCATCCAGCTGCACCTCCGGAGGCAACGGACCTACGACCTGAATGTTGGTAAATTCTTCGCGGCGTTCCTTTAACACTTCGGCCGGGTCGAGGACCGGAATTCCGCGACCGGCGAGTTCGGTTTGGGCTCCCGTTTCCGACGGAAGTCGTTTGCCCTGGACGATCCAGTGCTTCTTGAAGTGGAACCCGATGTGTTGTCGGAGGAGCACGGCGGTGAAACGCATATTGGTGCGGGTTTCTGTACAAAATCACCGATTAAGTCGTGAAATATTTTCCCCGTGGAAAACCGAAACTTGTGTTTTGATTGAATAACGTTACTGTGGCGGTGGACGAGAACACGAGCTTTTGACAGCGAACCGAATGCTCACTTGCGCACTGTCTACTTTGGGTTTCTCCTTCGTAACTTCAGCTTCAAGGGGTGATTCGATGGGGTTGATTTTGTGGAGCCAAAAAACGAGAAAATCGATTTCAGGTTTTAGACTTAGATCGAATTTCAGACATTCTGTTTTGCTTATAAAATGGTTGTTGGTATAACTACTAAGCAGATAACATTTGTTTCACATAGATTTTCCCATATTTGTGGCACCTAGTTGGACGAAACGCGTTTGGCATTGTCATTTCTTTGCACCCTGTGTTGGCAACACTTCTGGCCACAGAAATTTATATTCCTTTTTTGCTTCCTTCTTCCTTTATTCGCACGAATCTTCTGCTGTCGGATGCTCATCGTTTGGCAATGGAAAAAATGACGATGAGATAACATTCGTTCGTCATCAATCACCGTCGGAGGTTGCCCAGCCAGTTTCGAGTCAAGAAGAACGTTCTAAAGTGAAAAATCCCGTTTTATTTGTTCGCATTTACTGTTGTCTGGTTGACGCTGGCTAAAAAGGTTATTCCTATTAAAGTTATCAACTGATAGGCGCTCTACCTAATCGGAAAAAGTGAACTCAAGTGTAAAACTCGCGTCGTAGTAGTAAACAACAAGGAGACAAGATTGTGCCCGAGAAGCGATTGCCCTGCTACATCCTGCTGACCCAATGGCTGCCATCATGGACGGGAATCACCACCAGGAGCAGCTGCTGCCGTCCCGGGAGTTTGAATTCTTCCGTGCGGGATATGATCGACGATGTGAGAAACCGATAACGACGATCTTTTTCGATCTGGACAATACGCTGATACCGACCCGGAAGGGGGACGCGAAGGCTTGCAGTAAGGTAGGTGAACCAGGAAGTGGGGCTAGTCAATTGCTAGTAGTCCTTGATGGGTGAAGGATTTTGGCTCATCTCATCCTGGCTGTTGCTGTAAAAATAGCAATTTAACAATATTATTCATTTGGATCAAAACATCTGAAATAATACCGACGATCGCACATGGCTTATTTCGACAGTAATATTTCCTAAGGGCTTAAGTCACAAATTTATACAATATGATGATGATGATGGTACCATCTTTTACAAAAGGTTTGAGCAGAATGATTTATTTTTCAGATAATTAAGTAGGTATGACATCCTGATGAATGTGGTCGTTTGTAGTGGAATCCCTGTATAAAGAAAGAGATAACGATTAGTAATTTCCATATAATTTCACTAATTGTTTACCCTTGACAGATATGCGTATTTTGCCTACAATGTACAGACTTCTTCAGTGTCTCGTACTAGTACCAACAATCAATACGAAAGTAATGATTTTAAATTGGCTCACTACTTGACTAGCCTATTGGTCCCAAGCAAACGATTAACGTACCCCATTCTAGTCGAAATTCTAGTACTACACAATGTTTGTTTTGATTCGCTATGAAAGTTTGACAGATAAAATGAGGGGTTATTGGTTTTTCGTATGTTTCGAGGGGTGAATCGATTAGCTTGGTTGAGCACGTTATTTCGGGACCTTCTAGTCTTAGAGTTACCTCTATGCTAGTACTGTAACAGTACTGGTACAAGACACTGATGAAGTCTGCACATTGTAGAAGAAATCAAGAGCAAATTTTCATTATGTCGTAAGTAACATTCGCACCAATCCGAGAAAAATAAAGTTTTGTTTTGATGACCGAAAAGTTATTCCTATTTCCAAGTAAACACATATAATCTCATAGTGATAGCAATGTTTAACATATTTATCAGGGTTTTAATCATACAAATGCAAATCGCTAGCTTTCATGCTAAAAATACTGGTTTTTGAGTCAAAAGTTATTATAAGTCGTTTGGTGGCCCCTATTGTTACTTAAGTCAAAGTGTATTTACCAGGATATTCCGGAGAATTATCAATTACGTCTCCTTACGTGCAGCCCATTCATCATTTTAGGACCACCGAAATCATCTTAGCAACAAACAGTTCGATTTATTCACTTTAATAATGAGAAAGCGAAACGACGAACGTACACTTTTCACGGGTTTCTCAGCGCTGTTACTTAAGTCAAACGGCATCTCCATAGAAATTGGGTGACTTAAGTAACATCGAAAACTATTTTGATCGGAAGGTGATTACGTCAAAAAGCAATTTGACTGGTAAATAAATTTAAAAATTGGATTTGATCCTATATTCGGACAGTATATAGTGTAATAGCAGGAGAATCGATTGACACTGATAGCTCGACTTTGTTTACCTTTGTTACTTTCGACGTAATGAAAATTTGCTCTTGAAATACGCGTATATGTCAAAGGATAATTAATTGCTTATGGAATGGTAATTACTAATCCTTCTCTCTTTCTTTATAAGTATGACCTCTTAACCAGGCTCAATGCAGGCTTGAAGAAGCAAACCATCATTGGGATTGCATTGAACCTGACGGTATTGACAAACAAATCTTCTCAATTTCACAAATTAAATGGTGTTCGTATGTCACGCTATAACTCGAGAACGGATTGACGGATTTGCAAGTTTCTTTTTTTATTTTGTTCGTCTTCGTCGTCGACGGGTTTGCATCAAACAACTAGGCAGTACGTCGTTTACCGGGTACCCTACTAACATTTGTTTCACTGAGATCCCGCACGATAATACTATTTAAACCTGATTTATCCGCGTTGGAAGTGGATAGGATTCGCTATCGCATATAGTCGTTTTTCAAATACTGATCATGGTTACGCGTAGCAGGAACTAGTTGATCTACATATCGCTTTCAAAAACGTCAACTATCCAACTTGCCGCAGTAGTGCTCGCTCAGATACACGAATAGCCATTTTTATATTCAAGGAAGTCTCGTGCTGAAATCCTCCAATGAAAAAGCTTCGCACAGCTTTCAATTTTTCCTTCAGAATCGATGAGCTGATTTGCCTGTTGAACACAAGCATGGAAGATGATTTTCCAGTCACCGGGTTGAACGGTACGCTGATATTCCATTAAGATCTTGAGGAGTTCAAATGGCACATCCTTCTGTTCAGCTAGCAGTTGTTCAATATTAGTCCCAAAAAAAATCCATTCCTATATTCATGAACGGAAGCCGTGAACTATAGTTCCCAGGATGGCCAGCAAACCGAGAAAACCGGGGAATAACCGGGCATTTTAAAAGTAAACGGGCCATTCGACCGCCATTACTCGTATTCATCGGACGTGTGCTCTTCTGCTCTACTAAACTTGGTGAAAAATTGTAGCGAAAATGAGTGTAGTTCGTAAAAACACACTTGTTGTTGACTTCAGTGTCCTTCCAGTTCGTCCCAATGCGGGAAAAGTGTAAAAATTCTTCGAAAACAATATTAAGCTTCAATATTCGGACGTTAGATGCATTCAGTTTCATAACGTCCGAAATTGTGTTTTTAATAAGATGATAAACAATAAAGTTGCCTTGCGCTATGGAAAGGCGCACAACTATAAACACGCGTTTCTCTGTGCGAAGAGTGACTGCTGCAAAATCCCGGTATATGTGGATTGTGAAGCAGTGACCGTTCGAGTGCATGACCTTCCTGTGGCATGGCCACAGGCCACTGTTATGAAGCACATGGCAAAGTACGGGACAGTGATTTCCAGTCGACATGAGAAATGGAGGCACTACTCCCAGGATTCCTGAGCGGTGTTCGAGTTTTGCGAATGCGACTCGAAAGCGCCATTCCATCATACATCACGGTCGACAACGAAACAACGTTGGTAACGTACGACAAGCAACCAAAAGCAGCACATCCCAAACAGAAATGTTTGGATGTAGCCAAATCGAACAATAGCACCGCTCCAGCAGCTTCACAAACCGAGGGGTTATTCAGTCTCGTTGATTTCCCGTCGATGGATATCGTACAAAACCAGCCAACTACATCGGGTCAATCATCTCCTGCTTTCACCGGATTCTCAGCTGAAGAACAACAGTGTAACACCGACAATCAAACCGAGAATCATCACACTTCGAACGTTGAAAGCAACGACGAAAACTCTAGCACCAGCTCATGAAACGCAACAAAAGATTTCATTGAAAATACCAACAAACGCCGGCTGTCGAAGCACAAGGAGAACGGAAAAAAAGAAAGTTCGTGCTTATCAATTTTCAATAGGTCACTATTGAAAATTACACATATGTTCAACTGTTGCAATGGAGATATCCCCGATTGCCTGCAAAAAGCTCTCTCCCTAACACAGATCTCAAAATTGAATTTCGGTCTCGCCGAACGGTGCCTATTCAATCACCGTGTGTGGTGGTGTCCGGTCGGTCGTCATCAGGAGCAGCAGCAGCACTGCTTTCGGCACGTGGCGTTGTACATTTTTCTCCAGTACACAACGAAAGGCTCCCCGCAAGCAGCTATCTATCAAGGCTGCCATCAAGAGAAGGAGGAAGAAGCCGCACCGCTTCTGATCGTATTCAGTTGGTCGTCGTGAGCCGCTGTGGGCTATCTATGCCAAGCGCATCGCTCTCGTTACAAACAACAAACAGCTCGCCAGCCTCATCCGTGTTGAACACCCTAATAGCTCAGAAATTCCTTGTTTTAAACCAAAAATTCCGTTTGTTTTGTGCATGAAAATGCGTTATTTTTTCATCTTCTGAGGCGTTTCCGTGATAGGAAAAAATGGTTTCCCTAACACAGTCGCCGAATATTGATACCGAGCACGTAATCCACCGTCATATCTACGGTCGTGTCTTGAATACAACCTCTTACTTCTTTTTTTACTCTCACCCTCACTCGAATACAAAAGTCATCTGGAGCCTCGAAAAGCGAACCTAAAACGCTGTCCAGACTGGAGAGTTATAACATGGTTGTCAAATAATTGCAACACAGAAACCACCATCAAGATAGCGCTATAACATGTTATAACTCTGTAGTCTGAACGTACTATAACCAACAATCAATACGAAACTAACGATTTTAAATTGGCTCACCACTTTAGTAGCCTATTGGTCCCAAGCAAACGATTAACGTACCCTATTCTAGTTGAAATTCTATTACTACACTATGTTTGTTTTGATTCGCTATGAAAGTTTGACAGATAACATCAGGGGTGTGTGGATTCATGCAGAACATGCAGGGGTGAGTGAAATAGCTTGGGACTGCTTGGGACCGTTGTTCTGGTACTGAGTGAGCCAAAAATAATAATGATTTTCTTCGGGACCCAGTGGTCTTAGAGTTACCTCTATGCTATAACGTCAAATCATCCTCTCGATTGAGTTCGCTCTCCCTCCCTTCCTCTCACTCGATGCGTAGCTGGCCTAAACTTGCAGGGCAAGAGTATTTTAAAACCTCCAGTGAGTCGAGGAGTTTCATCAAGTCTGGAAACCGCTTGAAATATTTCTCGGATATCTCTTGATAAGCAATTTGTAATTTTGAAAATAACCATGGATTTCACCTCCGAATTATATGGGAATGTTCTTCAATTTACCTGGAATTCTTCTCAAAATTCCCCTAAGAGGATCTCTTGGATTCAACATGGAATTCTCTTGAAACTCTCTTTAGTATTCCTTTGGAAAATTCTTCAGAATCTCTTGGACAACTACTCAACAGCTCTCCTCAGAATTTTTATGTGATTGATTGGTTAGTCAACATTTAAGAGATTTGCAGTCGGTGATTATTAGGCGTAGTTTCAGGATTGTAGTCATGTAGTCAAGATTGCCGAAGGGTTAATTCGCTTTGAAGGAAGGGGGTTCCGAAATCCCTTAGAATGCAACCTAAAATTCGTTCCTAGTTGCTTGAGAGATCCCTGGAATTCTACTCTTAAGCCTCATAATAGTCTCTTCAGAACTACCTCAAAGTTCACCTTTACTTCTTCTTACAATTTTCATGAGATTCTTCTCAAAATTACCTAA